ACTCCAAACTGATCACATTTGTAACACTTTTTTTTTCTCTCTTTATAAAGAGATCTCATGCTTTCATTAGTTAAATTTTCATTCCACATAAGCACTGGTTCAAAACACAAGACTTTGTAATGGGACCATTTGGCTTAATCACCGAAACAACAGTATGGTCTTTCAATTTAGTACCTTTAAAAGTCAATTAATTCAACAGCAAACAATGCAAGATGCATGTTTAAAATGTTGCTGAATTAAATATGTCACAGTTATACAGGCTACAGTTGCCCTACTAGAAAATACACTTGCATTACCTAATTGCGTAATTGACATTAAACCCATACACGTTGTAATACTATACAGTGTGTCATCAAAAGCTGTGATGAAAATATGACATGGCCATGAGGTGTTTTGTAGAATAGTTTGCTGCCAATGCAGTGTATGTTGTTACTGTACCATATGTCTCAGTCATACCATATCACATGTAACAGTGTAAATGTAACCTTACATCTAAGGGGGCTGGGATGCATTCGCACTACAGCCTCACGTGTGCACCACATCTCTGAGTGTAACCGGTGTAAACTAGTAGGTGTGTTCGACTTGGCGCGGACTGACTGTGCAGACCGATCGGTGTATTTCAGTACCACGAGAGCTAAAAAGCTAAATCACTATCGCGGATGTCAAACACTGATCGATCTGCGCCGCACCTCTTCTAGTCGAACACACTGGCCTAGTGCTGCAAGCTTATCGGCTCACTGACACTGATGAGATTAACCCCCTAGGTATCGAAATTTGGTACCAAATGATGAGACGTTTTTCGATACTCGATGGTATCGAGGCATTTCGGTCGGTGTCTAAAAAGCATCGAACTCGATTGCCAGCCCTACTTGCAGAGATCTATTCTGATATATTAGATTTTTTTGTCCAGGTTGTTGCTATGATTATCACAGTGTCAAACATTATGATTTTAGATTGTCACACATTTTCACGTCGCAGCCTACGATTCAATAGGTGTCATCATCGTACAGTCTACATGCTTGTCGTACCCAAGTTTAAACGATCCATGTCGCACAGTGTGATAAAGTAATGATCTTATAGGATTGCTAAAATCGTGCAGTGTATCCCGGGCTTTAGATGAAAGCAACTGAAATAAAAGACATTAAATCTCTCAAGATTTCAGTAGAAGATAATTAAACAACTCCACAAACAGCATCACCAGCTTCATGCATTACTAACCAGTTAGACTTTATTTCTGGAGTACCTAAAACAGAAGTTCTTAGAATTAAGGTTTAGATGTGTTTTTTTTTCATATATAGTGTTTGATTTAGTTATCTCTTGACCCTTGAATTCTTATAAGTTTCTCTTTGGCTGTTACAATTATGTTTATAAAGTTCATATGTGATGGCAAGGAACTTATGATATAATTGTTTCATGCATCTAAGCCTCTGATTGCATTCTATCTAAATCTGTACTGCTATTCTGATTTCTATATTATTGCAGTTCTGTGATATGAGATGGCAATGTGAGAAAACTTTAAGCCACTTTTATAAATATGGTTCATAAAAAAAGTTTTGATTCTGGCACTCATAGACATGAAGAATCAGCATGTGAATCTCAGCAATGGTGACAAAGTATTCTGATCATTTTTTCATTATTTTTTAACGTCACAAAACAAGGCAGTAAAACAGCAAATAGTAAGAATAAAAGAAAATCCTAAAACAATGCAGCGGCATAATTTATTAATGTCGCAATGCATGCTGGGAGCCATGGATGAGTTATGATTGGTGCATCCAGAATGCAATGCTTCATGAATCTGTCTGATGATCGTCACCATTGTTGAGATTCATATGCTGATTCTTGATGTCTGTGTGTCTAAACAGTACAGGTGTTCTAAACTGGTGTACAAAGTGTTTTTAAAGTTTTTCACAATATTTCATTAAAACTCAGTTGTGATCAATCACAAACTAAATTATACATCACCACTGATGACATCAGTGAATCAGGCTATACATGACAACTACATCATTATCAAAAAGAGGCCAATATAACTTTAAAAGTTAGAAAACAATTTTCTCTGTTTTTCTTGTCATAACAAATTTGTTTCATAAACACAGATACAGCCACCAAAGAAAAACTAATGTTAAAAAGTCAAGTGTCAAGAGCCCAACTAAAGCAAACACTTATCTCCACAACGGTGACTTACAATTGTATTATTTTCAGTAAACATTAACATCTAAACCTCTGTTCATTCTTAAAAATAAATTTTTAGACGCATGACAAAAAAAAGTCAAACTGGTTAGTAATGTGTGAAGCTGGTGATGTTGTTTGTGGAGTTGATTAATCATCTTCTGCTGAGATCTTGAAATATTTAATGTGTTTTATTTCAGTTGATTTCATCTAAGGCTGTGGCTGAAGTCAGTAGTTCTTGTGTTTCTCTTTTCTTCAGTGATTCTGCTTGTTAACGGCAGGTGTTCATCACTAATGATCAATCAGCACTTAATTAATCACATAATTATCTCATTAACTTTAACACTGCTTCAGTGTTACTTTAACACTCTTTTAGGGTGGGACCATATATGCTCCGAGCAGTGTTAATTTAACACTCAGGATTTTACTATGTATGTTGTCAGACGATGCCTCGATTATAAATCAGGATTTTAGTGCAGATTTGCAGCTTGAAAGCTTGAAATAGTCTTAAAAATATATAACTTTTTTTAAATGTTAAAACAGAAGTTATCTAAGAGTAGAGTAGAAATCATCAGTGCATTTCAAGGCAGGCTTTCATACAATGCACTTTTTCTGAAGAAAATGTAACTTGTGCTTGATGTGTCAACAGGGGCCACATGGTTGGATCTGTGTACACTACATTCATTAAAAAGAGAACACCTTGAAATGGGCTGATGGCGCAAGCGACTTGGTGTATGGTCAAAGAGGGTCATGAAACCTTCTGTTTCAGCATTGGTTCGTTCTCATGACAGTTTTGAAAAATGCTTTTGTATGGTTTTGTAAGCTCACCATACATTACACAAATACCTATAGGCTTTACCACATATACCCCGTGACCACTATAATTTAATGCACAGATAAATGCATAACCGCTTGCATTTGCACTCTGCATCGGAAACATATATGAACAGAAATATGAACGATATCGTTAATATCTTTCAAGAATTATTTTGAGGCGTTTATATAAGCCATTTGATTGGTTGTATTAAGGAGCTGTAAAGACTCACTCACAAATGAGTGAATCGCGTTTGTGTTGGAGACTTCAAAGTTATATGGATGAGAATTTATGCCAAGCAGAAACTCTTAGAAAGCAAAAACAAACACTCACTTGCAATCCATAAATGCATCTCTCACTTATTGTATGCAGTCTCACAGTCTGAAGTGTCTGTCATAGGAAATTAAGAATTAAGCGAACCATCTTCTCATATGGTAAGGGCACGCAGTCTCATAAATAATTAAAGATCTCTTGCTGTCTTTTGTTCTTGCTACTGTATACAGACTCTCAGATTTTGTAGTTGCTGTTCAAAGAGCTATTATGATAGAACTTTTAGACCAGATTTTAATATTCACATACATCATGAAAATTATACATTAGATTTAGCATTTTCTGACATTTTAAACTCCAAACTGATCACATTTGTAACACTTTTTTTTTCTCTCTTTATAAAGAGATCTCATGCTTTCATTAGTTAAATTTTCATTCCACATAAGCACTGGTTCAAAACACAAGACTTTGTAATGGGACCATTTGGCTTAATCACCGAAACAACAGTATGGTCTTTCAATTTAGTACCTTTAAAAGTCAATTAATTCAACAGCAAACAATGCAAGATGCATGTTTAAAATGTTGCTGAATTAAATATGTCACAGTTATACAGGCTACAGTTGCCCTACTAGAAAATACACTTGCATTACCTAATTGCGTAATTGACATTAAACCCATACACGTTGTAATACTATACAGTGTGTCATCAAAAGCTGTGATGAAAATATGACATGGCCATGAGGTGTTTTGTAGAATAGTTTGCTGCCAATGCAGTGTATGTTGTTACTGTACCATATGTCTCAGTCATACCATATCACATGTAACATATGACTGTAGCTTTACCCTTTCAGGTAGACTTATAGTAATTTTCCATTTAAAAATATATAACCAAATCATATAGCACACATTAAAAACATTTCAGAACAGTTATTAATTGTAAAACTATATTTAATTTTTATAATTCACACTGTATGTATGAGCTTTTTACACAAATTAGCATAAGTCAAGGTGTGATACCAAACTAGACCAAATGGAGATGCCAAAGGACCACTCTACCAGCCATCTTGACTTGCATATAGCTACATCACAGCTCCATTCAGAATGACTAAACACAGCAAAATAATCATGAAAAAAAAACTTTTTTTAAATGTTAAAACAGAAGTTATCTAAGAGTAGAGTAGAAATCATCAGTGCATTTCAAGGCAGGCTTTCATACAATGTACTTTTTCTGAAGAAAATGTAACTTGTGCTTGATGTGTCAACAGGGGCCACATGGTTGGATCTGTGTACACTACATTCATTAAAAAGAGAACACCTTGAAATGGGCTGATGGCGCAAGCGACTTGGTGTATGGTCAAAGAGGGTCATGAAACCTTCTGTTTCAGCATTGGTTCGTTCTCATGACAGTTTTGAAAAATGCTTTTGTATGGTTTTGTAAGCTCACCATACATTACACAAATACCTATAGGCTTTACCACATATACCCCGTGACCACTATAATTTAATGCACAGATAAATGCATAACCGCTTGCATTTGCACTCTGCATCGGAAACATATATGAACAGAAATATGAACGATATCGTTAATATCTTTCAAGAATTATTTTGAGGCGTTTATATAAGCCATTTGATTGGTTGTACAGCTCCTTAGCTGTAAAGACTCACACTCACAAATGAGTGAATCGCGTTTGTGTTGGAGACTTCAAAGTTATATGGATGAGAATTTATGCCAAGCAGAAACTCTTAGAAAGCAAAAACAAACACTCACTTGCAATCCATAAATGCATCTCTCACTTATTGTATGCAGTCTCACAGTCTGAAGTGTCTGTCATAGGAAATTAAGAATTAAGCGAACCATCTTCTCATATGGTAAGGGCACGCAGTCTCATAAATAATTAAAGATCTCTTGCTGTCTTTTGTTCTTGCTACTGTATACAGACTCTCAGATTTTGTAGTTGCTGTTCAAAGAGCTATTATGATAGAACTTTTAGACCAGATTTTAATATTCACATACATCATGAAAATTATACATTAGATTTAGCATTTTCTGACATTTTAAACTCCAAACTGATCACATTTGTAACACTTTTTTTTTCTCTCTTTATAAAGAGATCTCATGCTTTCATTAGTTAAATTTTCATTCCACATAAGCACTGGTTCAAAACACAAGACTTTGTAATGGGACCATTTGGCTTAATCACCGAAACAACAGTATGGTCTTTCAATTTAGTACCTTTAAAAGTCAATTAATTCAACAGCAAACAATGCAAGATGCATGTTTAAAATGTTGCTGAATTAAATATGTCACAGTTATACAGGCTACAGTTGCCCTACTAGAAAATACACTTGCATTACCTAACTTGCGTAATTGACATTAAACCCATACACGTTGTAATACTATACAGTGTGTCATCAAAAGCTGTGATGAAAATATGACATGGCCATGAGGTGTTTTGTAGAATAGTTTGCTGCCAATGCAGTGTATGTTGTTACTGTACCATATGTCTCAGTCATACCATATCACATGTAACATATGACTGTAGCTTTACCCTTTCAGGTTGACTGTGGTTCACGTGCTGAATGTTTAAGTCTGTGTGTGACTTTAGCATGTTACCACACACGATTTAAGAATTATATAACCCCAAAAAAAAGCATCTAAGGGTCTTTATGAAAAAGTTTTTGATAAAGTTGATTAATGAACATACACTATTAATGCACTAATGCACTAATGCTTTAATTATAAGATAGGTCACTTTCTAAAAGCAACCTATTTATTACTTTTCTTCCTTTGAAATCAAATAACTCTGACTTCATAATGCATTACTACATTAACAGGAAGATAATTATAGTAACGTAAACCAAGTTCAAAGTGCCCAACCAAAGGGACTGCTAATCACTATAATGGGGAGTTAAAAAAAACACATTTTAGGAAAATCAACATCAATTTATGAAGTTAGCTTATGTGATGTTCTTTCAAATATTTCAGTTGTATTGAGAATTCAACATTCAAGATGACTTTGGGAAATGAGTGAATGCAACTAGTGAAAGATAATTGCAGACATGGAGGAAATGAGTGAAAAAGTCTATTAAGACTCGTTTTCTTTTCTTCTTCTGCTGTTATGTTGCACATTAGCAACATATTAGTGCACTGCTGCCTCTCATTGGTTTATTAATGTCATTGGTTCCTTTGTGGCTGCTTGAATATTTTAAGTAAGTGTCACTCAAAACAGTAAGTAAATTGTTTTATTTTCCTTGAAAGTAGCTGTAACTTAATAAAACCTAGTAAGTATAACAACTAAGTAAAGATAACTAACTAAATCTAAGTAAGGTAAACTATTGGATTTTACAGTGTAACCAAGGATTTTCCAGAGATTTTCACCTTGCCATGTAGCTGTATAAGCTCTATATATTGCTGCAGAAAACATTCCCCAAATCATGACACTTCCTCCTTCACCTTTCACTGAATTCTTAAAACATTTGGGCTTCAGTCATTCCTCAGTTTGACATCGAACAAAATGTTTCCCATCAGACCCAAATAAATTGAACTTGCTCTCATCAGTAAAGTGAACTTTGGACCAGTTTTCCTCTCTCCACACAACATGCTCCTCAGCAAAGGTGAGCTTAGCCGTTTGATTCTTTCTGCTGATGAGAGGCTTAGTCACTGCTGAGTGCCCTTTCAGTCCGACTACTCTTAAACATTCAGAGACAGATCCTTACCCTGTTCAGCACTGAACCTGCAAGCAATTCCAGCTGCAGTGTTGAACCTATTCCCCATTGAGAGTCTCTGCATTGTCCTGTCTTCTTGTGCATTTGTCTTATAGGTGAGCTATTATGCCCCTTTTTACAAGATGTAAAATAAGTCTCTGATGTCCCCAGAGTGTGTATGTGAAGTTTTAGCTCAAAATACCCCACAGATAATTTTTTATAGCTTGTTGAAATGTGCACTTATAGGGTATGAGCCAAAACGCACAGTTTTTGTGTTTGTCCCTTTAAATGCAAATGAGCTGGTGCTCCTGCCTCCCTTTTCAGAAGAGGGCTCCGGCATACCGGCAACAACAAAACAGGACAATCTCACGCAATCTGATTGTACTGTGCAGTAAATGCGCATATATGAATTACACAGACAGGGACATTATGAGCTCAACTTCACATTGCTTTCATATGCAATTTTGAACTATCACATTCCTATTTATGATCATTCTGGTAGCACGTGAAGGCATCATTTAAAACAGGCAGAGACAATGATAGCTTTAGCAACATTGTGTCAAGTGTCAAGAAGCTCTTTTGGAAAACAAAATATGACGCGTGATACTTACTTTGTCTGGAGTTGACGTTCGCGCTCGAAGCATTGGTATTGATCCCTCTTTCAGAAGCAATCTTTGCACAACTCCAGTGATGAACTGACCCTCGTTTGCAAGGCAGTCCGGTGTAAAATGATTAGCACAAACATATAGGACTTTTCAGTTTTTTCCGGGACATTTCCTTCGAAAGTGAAATTTAACCACCGTGTCCTCAGTGGTCTATGGAGACTCCTATGTTCGATGGTGCATCCCAACACATGACACTTGTAATGCCTCTTTGGCGCTGACATTGTATCTCCAGCAGCTACAGCAAGACAACAGTAATGGCGGACCGCTCGTTTAGAGAGACTTTAGGATTTATTGGGATTATAAAAAAAGGAGTGGGTGGATAATGTTCAAGCACCTTATAAAAGTGATTTTTGCATAATAGTTCACCATTAAGTGGATGACCAGCCTTTTTGGGGGGGACTTGAGTGAATTAGTGTCATTGTAAACCTGCAATATTTGAGAAATCACAAATTGGGAATGACCAGCTTCTCTTGCAATGGCTGAAAGGGTCATCCCTTTGGCCTTCCTCTGGAGAACCTCCTGTCACAGGATTTCAGTCACCTTAGAGCGGCCAGCCATCTTGCAATATCAGTGAAAATTGGAGGAATGCTGCCAGTTAAATAGGGTTTGTCATATAATTAAGGGAATTAGCACCAGGTGCCAGATTAACACTAATAACTTGGAGGTATCTGTAAGTGTTCTCTAATTTTTATCGGTTCTTTTACAAATATTTCATTTAAGTTTTTTAGTGTTTGCTCCAGAATACAAATAATTTATGAAAAAATGCTTAAAAACCTGGGCTTCTACTCATGTTAGGATAACTTCAAATAGGACTAAGCAGTGACCTTGACATTTAGGAAATTATAGGTTGTTCTCTAATTTTGATCTCCACTGTATATCTATAGAAATTTATAGATTTAACAAATGATTCACTGATTAACCATTAAGATCAATTGGATTAAAATGTATTAAACTGAACAAGAAGAGAGGCAAATGAAAACATTGTCAGTAATACCAGTATGAAAGGCAGTTATTGTGAATGAAATGTTTACCTAGATTAAACATTTTGTTTTGTGAAAAGGATACTTTGTGATTTTGTGTTTTGTACTGAAAACATGCTGAAATGTTTGTAAAAGTGCATTTTTGGTTGTCTGATGTGAGATTAGTACTAAGAGTTTTGAGAATGTATAACTCACTTGTGAAAATTGCACAAAAAAAAGAAAAAAAGCCTGAAGGCCAAGTTGAAATACTTGTATTTGGCTTGGTATATATGTTTTTTGTTTTTTTTTCAGAGTATGGCTGTATTCGGGGTACTAATAGAATATACTAATGTATGTAAACAATGTATGTCTAATGTCTTTACATATCTGTCTTTCTATCTCTGCACTTACATACTATGTTTTTTCTCTGTTCTGTTTAAAGCACCACAGAAGCCACTTGCCAGTCCAGATTTGGAATCCAGTTTGACCCAAGAGCACTTTTCTACCTTCAACGAAGCAAACTCTAAACACACAAGCATGTAGCACACAGCTGAAACTTTTGGCGATAATGATAAACTCATGATAAATACTCAGCACTACCTCTGATTCCAACCAGATCCTTATGCTTGGACCGATTAGATCACTATAACATATAGAACAGTTCCTATGTAGTGTCTGTATGACAGTTAAGCTCTGCTTGATCAGTATAATTATTTGTAAGCGAACTGTTTCTGTATGTCTTTCTTTCTGATTTTGTTACAACTTTCTGAAATGCCCTATATTTTCATAAGATGATTAGAATGTGGTGATCCTAAAAATGTGGTATTAACTAAAGAAAACTAATTTCTATGAATATATATATTTTGAATATTTGCTGTTATCATTTTACCTTAACTTCATCATGCAATAGTTACTTTATTGTACTGTATGTATCAAAGTCTTTTGTTGTTGTTTTACTATTTACAGTTTTTATACATCAATTTAATGAAATCTGACAGTGTGTCTTGCTGTGCCTTTTGTAACATTTTTTTATATATTTTATGTAATGAATGTTTTTTACTTCTAAAGAAAAATAACTAAAGGGCACAAGTCTGGAACTGCTAAATGAATATATGAGGCTCCCACCTGAATGAATGTGAAACCAATTAAAATATGATCACTCTACAGCTATGTCTCAAGATGCGACATTGGATGCACATGACATATTTAAAACTACAGTTCAGAATGAAACGGAAAAGGACTTTGTTCCCAATTTTAATGCAGGTCATTCACACCTTAGTTTTGTAGATCTTTCCAAAAAAATTGGTGTAGAAAATGTGAGTTTTCAGGTAAACTATACATTAATATAGATGGATGAACATTAAAATGTGAGAAGACCCAAAAATAGAAGAGCGAGAAAACTTTGCTGTCAGTCATGGGACAAAGTGCATGATACAACAGCATGGATATTGGAAGCGGTTATTCTTCCTGCTCTTGATGTTTACCAGATTGATGTTGATATTTTGTCTGATCTTCAGCCGCAGTATCTCTGTTAGCACTACCACATTTGTGAGGCCCTAACAGTGCTGGAGCAATATGGAATGCCATATCTGCCATAATTAGAAACAAAGAAATTTTAAAAAAGCAAATATAAATATATACATAAATATGCAAAGAAAAGTAAAAAAGCAAAAACAAAGAATTATTTATAATTGTATTTCCTTATTTATTTAAATTTTTTCCCCCACATTTTTTTTTTTTTTTTATGCATTTATTTTTTTTCACATTTATGTATTTATTTACATATTTCTTTCCACATTTATTTATTTCTTTATTTTCACATTTGTTTATTTCTACATTTCTTTGTCCGTAGGGTAATGAGGAGGGCGTGTTTTACCTCAGGAATAGCAATAAATGTGAGAAGACCCAAAAATAGAAGAGTGAGAAAACTTTGCTGTCAGTCATGGGACAAAGTGCATGATACAACAGCATGGATATTGGAAGCGGTTATTCTTCCTGCTCTTGATGTTTACCAGATTGATGTTGATATTTTGTCTGATCTTCAGCCGCAGTGTCTCTGTTAGCACTACCACATTTGTGAGGCCCTAACAGTGCTGGAGCAATATGGAATGCCATATCTGCCATAATTAGAAACAAAGAAATTTTAAAAAAGCAAATATAAATATATACATAAATATGCAAAGAAAAGTAAAAAAGCAAAAACAAAGAATTATTTATAATTGTATTTCCTTATTTATTTTAATTTTTTTTCCTACATTTATTTATTTTTTTATTTATGCATTTATTTTTTTTCACATTTATGTATTTATTTACATATTTCTTTCCACATTTATATATTTCTTTATTTTCACATTTGTTTATTTCTACATTTCTTTGTCCGTAGGGTAATGAGGAGGGCGTGTTTTACCTCAGGAATAGCAATCGAGCCAGAGTAGGCGAGGGATAAACTTTGAGGCCACAGTGACACCTTATGGTGCCCAAACGAAGTACAAGAAGTGTAGCCTACATGACACGCCTATTGATAGTGTGGGATGAATGATTTAGATGGGCAATATGGCCAAAATCTTATATCACGGGTTATCAATTTCACTTGGGGGGTTGTTTCGACTGGGAAGCGTGCAATCTGTGATTGCGTGGATTTGCTGAAGCTCTCGAAAGCGTGCAATCGCTTTCTTATGCGCACTGTTTTTTTAGGTTTCACTTTCAATGCATACAACGCATGTTTCAAAGATTCGGGATAGGAGGCATCAGTTACTGTAGAAGATTTGTCGCTTCGTGCCACTTCCCGTGTGGTCACCGCATCAACTGATTATAATGGGTTCTCTTGGTGTAGACATGACTTTAGATACAGATTAATTAGATCAAACAAAAGGTGCCCATGGGAATGGAGCTAGTGAAACACGCGCCATGTATTGTAGCCTAAAACGTTTAATATTTGCGACGGACACCAACGATTGTATGCGGCTATGCAGTGGAGATGCGTTCACTGTCAAATATCATTTAACATTCATTTGGAAATTTTGTCAAATATTTTTTTCTTGATTACAAGAAAAAAAACTGTTCTTGTGATTTATTTCTTGTTTTTCATTTAATTCATAAGTTAACACTGCAAATTAAATGGTTTCGTTTTTCTCTGCAGTCGAAGAAAGTAGCCTATAGCCTAAATTATGTCAGTGATCTCTCTCATTTGAAAGATTATCAAGAATAATTTTTTCAGATCTGCAGTCTAATAAAAGTCTGGACAGGCTAATTTCATTCTTTCATCTCTGTTAGCACTACCACATTTGTGAGGCCCTAACAGTGCTGGAGCAATATGGAATGCCATATCTGCCATAATTAGAAACAAAGAAATTTTAAAAAAGCAAATATAAATATATACATAAATATGCAAAGAAAAGTAAAAAAGCAAAAACAAAGAATTATTTATAATTGTATTTCCTTATTTATTTAAATTTTTTCCCCCACATTTTTTTTTTTTTTTTATGCATTTATTTTTTTTCACATTTATGTATTTATTTACATATTTCTTTCCACATTTATTTATTTCTTTATTTTCACATTTGTTTATTTCTACATTTCTTTGTCCGTAGGGTAATGAGGAGGGCGTGTTTTACCTCAGGAATAGCAATCGAGCCAGAGTAGGCGAGGGATAAACTTTGAGGCCACAGTGACACCTTATGGTGCCCAAACGAAGTACAAGAAGTGTAGCCTACATGACACGCCTATTGATAGTGTGGGATGAATGATTTAGATGGGCAATATGGCCAAAATCTTATATCACGGGTTATCAATTTCACTTGGGGGGTTGTTTCGACTGGGAAGCGTGCAATCTGTGATTGCGTGGATTTGCTGAAGCTCTCGAAAGCGTGCAATCGCTTTCTTATGCGCACTGTTTTTTTAGGTTTCACTTTCAATGCATACAACGCATGTTTCAAAGATTCGGGATAGGAGGCATCAGTTACTGTAGAAGATTTGTCACTTCGTGCCACTTCCCGTGTGGTCACCGCATCAACTGATTATAATGGGTTCTCTTGGTGTAGACATGACTTTAGATACAGATTAATTAGATCAAACAAAAGGTGCCCATGGGAATGGAGCTAGTGAAACACGCGCCATGTATTGTAGCCTAAAACGTTTAATATTTGCGACGGACACCAACGATTGTATGCGGCTATGCAGTGGAGATGCGTTCACTGTCAAATATCATTTAACATTCATTTGGAAATTTTGTCAAATATTTTTTTCTTGATTACAAGAAAAAAAACTGTTCTTGTGATTTATTTCTTGTTTTTCATTTAATTCATAAGTTAACACTGCAAATTAAATGGTTTCGTTTTTCTCTGCAGTCGAAGAAAGTAGCCTATAGCCTAAATTATGTCAGTGATCTCTCTCATTTGAAAGATTATCAAGAATTATTTTTTCAGATCTGCAGTCTAATAAAAGTCTGGACAGGCTAATTTCATTCTTTCTTAACTTTTAACTTCTTAAAATGTATTATGAAGAATTTTAAATAAATTTAATAACAAATAGGCTAGGCTAATGAATTTTCACCATTAGCTAGGGTATCCGTAATGATCGTATATTGCTTTTCTATAAAACAAAATTTTCATTAATAACGAATATGACAAAATAAAATTAATCTATAGCATATATATATATATATATATATATATATGTATAATAGTTTTATGTCAAATGGAAATTGCAGTGCCTTTAATTCATGAAGAAATGTTTTATTTCGTTCTAACCTGTAATTCGGGAAATGTAACGAAAAGATCGTTTTTACTTAAAACAAATAAATTTTTAAGCCCTGATTTTAGAAATACATGAGATAATATAGGGAACAACGGGGCTAAAAGCGCCCCTGGGTAAAAGGCGCCTTTGATATCGTTTTCATCTCAACCACTAGATGGCACAAAAACGTGGCGTAGCACTTTCCAAAACATTCGCTTTTCAAGATGCACGTGTATTTTTGTCTGATCCTTGACGCTACCACGCACAGCAGCGCAAAGTTGATTCTGAGTTTACTTGATCTAATATTTTATGTTTTTTTAAATGTTGAAGATTTAAGTAGCAAATGAGAATCGCTAAAATTAATGCATATATTTTGAGACAAAGGTCTTTATGATTTTCAGTTTTGTTTAAGATAATTAAAGCAACGAAAATAACGAAAGAATATGTAAAAGTATGGTATTTGGGGTAAAAAGTGCCCCTGCTTTTGGGGCTAAAGGCGCACAGTAATTAACATGATAATTAATAGATGGCTGACTTTTGCATTTGATGACATGACATGGTTAGATTCAGATGGTAAATATCATATATTATGTTGGGTGTCTATATTAGAGATAATCACCATGTTTAGAATGAAACCATCATGTTTAAAAACATGATATTAATCATATCATATAATAAAATATAATTTTGTCACGAATCCGGTCCATGGTTTTCCGTCTGCTCGCCACCTGATGTTGCCTTCCAATTACATTGACTCTCACACTACACAAACTGTTGCATGTCACCCCGGACTACATTTCCCATAATCCATTGCATCATCATTCAACCCGCTCGTGAAATGGCAGCTGCACCGGACCACGCTCACATAATGACGGCGACAGCTGAGCCCGTTCGCAAAGTGGCAGCCACAACAACACTCTGTCATATTACTGCTGCTATCCCTGAGTCAAGTCAAGTCACCGCTGATCTTCATGAGTCTCGTCACGTCACAGCTGATAGTCCAGAGTCTTGTCACGTCACAGCTGATCATCCAGTCT